GAGGACAAAAACCTGAACTACAGGGCGCGTTTGGGACCAAAAAACCCAAGTTATTTAAGGTGGAACCAATAATCCGGGTTTTTTGGGGGGAGAACCTCTGGAAGGAGTGAAATGCTTTTCAAATGCTTGACCGTGGCTTCGCTTACAGCGGCTGTGCCCTCTAGATAATATATATATATATATATATCAACACAGTTTATGAAACAATAGCCAACCTCTGAGATTATCTATGTACTGGTCACAAGAGAAATTCTGCTGGTTTTTAAGAGATCCAGCATTCTCTGTGTGTGGTCTTGTTTTCAGATGCGCGCGGGGGAACCCACACAATTCTGCAGGTTCATATAATGGAAAAGGTTTTGTCTGAAATGTGGCATTGTGTAAATGGCTAGAAGAGCTGGTAAACTGTACTTAAAAACATATTATTTATAATAAAGTGTTAAGTAACAATGCAAACTCTCATTTTGATCGTTCCAAAGAGGATTGCCATATTCATGGGTCCAAAGTAACTGCATTTTCCAGGGCTCACTACCTGTGTCCTTTTAATTACATGGTTCTTACCTTTAATCACATTGGTATCCCATCGGTATTACGGTATTTAAAAGCATCTATTGAAGAATGTAATGGAGACGTAATATACGGGTGAGTGTAATGGAAATTTCCCTGGGACAATCTGTCTTTTCACTCAATGAGTTTATAGGTTGACAGTAGGTGCTTGAAAAAAAAACACAATTCTAGCTGGAAATGGAAGAACACTTATAAATGGAGCCAGAGAGAACTTCTTCAGTTAAATTAACCACTGGGCACGACCATTTCAGGGACAAACCAAGAAAAGTAAAGTAAAGAAAAGAAGACCAACAAGGCATTGAAATCCTAGCATAGCAAGGAATTCATCGTTAAGAAATATTTCCAATATTAACCCATGGAATCTGTGTGATAGCTTTCTTCCCACAAGAGCGCATGTCAGCAACAACATGACCTCAGCAAAACCCTCGGCTTTCTAATACGACATAGGAGGATTGTAAACTGAAAAGACCCAAACAAAACAGTTGAAGGTAGCAAACGAGGGAAACAAGACTGTGGGCATCTTCCTAGTCTCTCCCCAGTCGGATGATTATTTGACTCGAAATCTTTAACGTGAGCACTTCCTTGCCATTGTCTTCTCTGCAATGTGTGTGTGTGCTGAGCACAATTTACACTCTTTCTCCTCTGGCAAGGAAAACGCATTTGGGGACACTCTTTCCCGCAATGGTTCTGGATCAAACAAACACCTCTAAGCCCTATGCGTGTTTTAAATCAGCTTTCCAATGGCCCCAATCCCTCTTCGATCTTATACTAATCAGGACCCTGCTTTTCGCCCTCTTGAACAATGATGTGTGTTCAGAGGGAGGCCATCATGATAACGCCATACATCCTCTTACGGAGTGACTCCAAATGTGATCCGCACCAGAACTGCGTGCACTTTAGGGATACTGTATTCTTGATGGGCGAAATGTACAAGCTGAAGGATGACTTCAATTTGATACGAAAGAAAGGGAGGGGAGAGAAATGCCAATCTCGTTTGGAACTATAGCTGAAACCTTCTGAGCAAAACGTTAAAAGACACCTTGGAACATTCCCTAGAACCCACTGGCAAAAGACATCCCACCTTTAGCTTCTTTGACTGGTCAAAGCTTACATACAAGATGCATTAAAAACCCTGGGATCTTATTCTAGGGTTTGCCAATATATGCCTTGCTACACCTTTTTATGGATATCTATATATAGATATGTTCATCTTTTTACTTTCATAAAGACATCCCAAGGCATTATTTACAAGCACACATAATTTACCTATGCTATTTGGCAAAGCAACTTCGGAAAAGAAAGTGAATGAATAAATACTTCATAACTGCTGGTAGAACAGACTGGCTCCTGTAATGAAGAAAAGATTTATGTCACGTTATTTCAGCCCAAATAGCAGCAGCCTCTGTTTGTCTCAGCCCAGTGCTTCTATTTAAATGTTACTTTCATATATTATGTGGCATTAATTTAACTATAGCTCATTAAGGCAGAATGAAATGGTTAAATTAACTTATCAACCCATAATGATGATGAATGAGGTATTAATTCAGATACAAGCTGGGCAATTTGCAAGTTTACGCATTCTGATGGTTCTCAAATAACATTTTGAATAGCGGGTCAGCGCCTCAATCAATTACATAAGCATGTAAAGTCGGTCTCTCGGAAAAAAATCCTTTTTCATGCATATGCATTAAAACATGTTCGCAATTATCCTCGGAAATTGCCTTCATTGGATTAAGCAGCAGTCTTGGACGTGGGTTCTGGTCTTCCCTGTGCCTTTATTAAAGCTTTGAGCAGCTTTGGCTATAATAGAGCAGATAGAGTGTTTGTTTAACCAATGTTTACTAAAGGAAGGCTAAAGCACTGCACTGGTGTTTGAGAACAAAAGAAAAAACTCCTTTGGAAATGCTGCTATTAATCGGTCAGCAAACGCAGAAGCACTTGAAGAGAGCCACTAAAACTCACACATGTTTTCCTAGGACACAATTAAGTATTGTCCTCAAAGAGAGACTTCGGATAAGTGTCCTTTACGTGGATTCCGTTTAAGGCTCTGGACTCATTAACTATGAATGGTCTCTGTATGGAAAAGATTAGGTGTACAGGGTTTGACACTTCGGTTTTACATGATATGCTGCGCTACCGTCGCAGTGACAGAGGGAAGTACTAATTACCCAGGGCTATATAATAACATGATTTTCTACCATTACCTCTAAAAGGCTAAAGTTAACCAAGAAGAAAATAATCATCATAAGCTATGGAGAAAAAAACAGGCACGTATGGATTTCGCTGGGTCTTTAACTGTCGAATAATAGTGCATAGATCAGCTTAAGAATGATTATGACCAATCGAACATTTCAGGTTGTCTTTAAATAGCAGCTCCCTCTCCCCCCCCCCCCCCGCCGTCCACGGCAAATCATTAGGAGCTGAAATGTAAGCCAGTCATCCCCCAAACTATACCAAGACTTTTAGAGTTGTCGGATGTGTTTAAAAATAGAGTCATTCTAGCGTTCTTTGCTATCTGCTTACTTGCCAGGAAGGCCTGGGTGGAACAGAGTTTCCAAATGAAGGACCCACTCTTAAAAATATCTTCAATAAAACTTGCTCAGTTTTTCAATGGCTATAAGGCAGTTGAAATGTATAGTGATTATTGAATAGTTATCCTGGGGATCAACTCAAAACGGAGAACAGGAAAAAACATTTCTAACTTTTCACTTTCCATTTTCCAATCAAAATATTGAAAGACATTCTGATAACACTTTATAAAAGGGTCCTCTTGTTCCTGGCTTGTCATCTGGCAAAACCATTTCACATGCATTAATTCCCCTTCAATGATAAAAACAGAAACGAGTCGACTTTTCCATCGCAAACACGTTATTTCTATTTTGGAATGATTTGGGTTGATTTCTTACGAGCCAGGATAGGAAACTGCAGCTACTGTTTATTTGCTGCCTACAAACCGTTGGATACCAGCTTTAATAAGCAGAGCTCTCTCATTTCAAACTATCAGATTTTCCTATGAAATTGGCTCCATTGATTTCGGTGACCAAAGAGGGCATTGCGGTGCTCAAAGACAAAATGTCAAAAACCTCCTGTACGTGTAGCGATATCGCTGTGTCCACAT